GTGAAACCTCATTGTGGTTTTGATTTGCATTTCCCTGATTGCTAGTGATCCTGAACATTTTTTCATGTGCCTGTTGGCCATTTGGATTTCCTCTTTTGAAAAATGTCTATTGAGGTCCTTGGCCCATCTCTTAAGTGGGTTGTTTGTTTTGATGTTGTGGAGTTTCTTGATTTCTTTGTAGATTCTGGTTATCAACCCTTTATCTGTTGCATAGTTTGCAAATATTTTTTCCCATTCTGTCCGTTGCCTCTTCACTTTCCTGATTGTATCTTTTGAAGTACAGAAACTTCTCAATTTGATGCAATCCCAAATGTTAATTTTGGCTTTGACTGCCTGTGCTTCTGGGGTATTTTCCAAGAAGTCATTGCCAGTACCTATATCTCGCAGGGTTTCTCCAATGCTCTCTAATAATTTGATGGTGCCGAGTCCTATATTTAAGTCTTTAATCCATGTTGAGTGAATTTTTGTGTAAGGTGAAAGGTAGGGGTCTTGCTTCATGATTCTGCATGTGGAAATCCAATTTTCCCAGCACCATTTATTGAATAGACTGTCCTTACTCCAGGGATTGGTTTTGGATCCTTGATCAAATATAAGTTGGCTGTAGATGTTTGGATTGATTTCTGGTGTTTCTATTCTGTTCCATTGGTCTATCCATCTGTTTCTGTACCAGTACCATGCTGTTTTGATAACAACTGCCCTGTAGTATGTCCTGAAATCTGGTATTGTGATGCCTCCAGCTTTGTATAAACAAATCTTTAAATTGGCTTCCTAGCAATTTCCTGACGAGAGCCTTTGATTAATTATACTTTTTATCAGATTTTGGTTTGTTTTCTCTACAGAGATTTCACTTCCGTAGTTCCCAAAGCTGAATATCAAAGTACTTGGCCCTAAAACCTTGAGCTAATCCTGATGGGGGAAGAAATTTATCAGCAGCTTTGTCCTATCCTGTTCTCCAGTACACTCCCCACAATGTCTGGGGTCTCGTTGTTTGCTAATTTATCTAAGTCACTTGCCTTATTTTAGGCTGATTGAGTCCTCTACCATCTCTCCATTCCACTTTTTCTCTCTCTATTAATATTGAAGTGATATTCTCTATGTTGATTTTTCTAAAAGTGGTTACCCAAAATAATAAACAGGCACATCTAGGTAAAATCTAAAGTTGAAGATCATTACACTCCTCCCAAATAATGCAAGGACTTCACATTGTTTTAACTTTGATTACCAACCTCAACTATATGTTATTATTGCCTAATAATCTCTCCTCGTGGATTTTTTTTTTAAAGATCATCTCTTGGTCTTTAGAGCACGGTGGTTTTACTTTCATGGATCTATACATGGGTTTGTTTTACTTATCTTTCTTGGAAACCTTGTACTTCCTGAATCTGAAAATCAACGTCTCACAATTCAGGAAGACACTCAACCATTATCTAGCTTATTACTGTCTATTTCCCATAACCTTTTTTTCCCCTTCTTTAAGAACTATAGTTAAATAATGTTAGGAATTCTGACTTTGTCTTCCATTACTTTTACCCTCTCTATATTTTTCATCTCTTTGTCTCTCTCAGGTTCATTCTGAGAAATTCGTCAAATATTTCCTCCATTTCACTAATCCTTTCTTTGGCTTTGTCTAAGATGCTCTTGACTCAGCTTTGGAGTCTTGGATTTTGAGCATTCCATTTTCCAGTCCTAGGGCCCCTGTTTCCTTCTTTTTCAAACCTGCCTGCATTGTTTTCTAATCCATTATTCATGTTTTCATTAATCTTATTTCTTTAAACATGTTAATGATGTTGTTTTATATTCTATATTTGATATTCCTAATATCTGGAGTAGTCATGGATTTGATTATATTTTCTAGCTTTTGTTTTCCTGACTCATGGCTACAGTTCCCTTATTTCTTACATATTTTATGCTTTTTGATTGTTAGCTTGTGTTGGACCTTAATCTGAGGAAACTGAAGCCTGTTTGAAGTGCATTTCTCAAAAATGACATGTGTTTGCTTCTATGTCACCAGGGGGCACTATTTACCTTGAACAGCTTAAATTCCCTACTTGATATTTTATACCACATTGGTAGTGTTACCAGATAAAACATAGATAAAAATAATGCTAAATGTAACATTTGGGGCATATTTTTTATTAAAAATTCTTCATTGTTTATCTGAAATTCACCTTTAATTGGGAACGCTCACATATCTGATGGAGCCTGTGTCCAAAATATATCTATTTTTTCTTTTCCTTCCTTATTTTTTAAAGTTAGATTTACTTATTTGAAAGACAGAGTTACAGAGAAAGAGACAGAGACAGAGAGCTATTTATGCTCTTCCCAAAAGGCTGCAATGGCCAGGGCTGGGACAGGCCAAAGCCAGGAGCCTGGAACTATATCCAGGTCTCCCACAGCGATGTAGAGGCCCAAAGACTTGGGGCCATCTTCTGCTGCTGCTCTCAAAGGCACATTAGCAGGGAGCTGGATCTAAAGCAGAGCAGCCAGGACACAAATCATGATCCATATTGGATGTGGCAGCTTAATGAGCTGCGTCACAACTCCAGGCTCTTTTTTCTTATTTTTAAACATATAACCCAACATTAAAAAGACAATAATACAATCAAAAACAGATAAAAGGATTTGAACAGACATATCTCCAAAGAAGACAAAGTGACCAATGAACATGTGAAAAAGTAACATTGCTGGTATTTAGGGAAATGCAAATTGAAACCACAAAGGTTTACCACTTCCTATGCACTAGGATGCCTATGTTAGAAAAAAAGAAGGATATTTAGCCAAAGGGTTTAAAAAAAAAAAAAAACTAGTTGGGACACTCCCCCATTCCATATCAGAGAACTGGGGTTCAATCCTGGACTCCAGTTCCTGATTCCAGCATATTGCTAATGCAGACCAACAATAAGCAACAATGGCTCAAGTAATTGGGATCCTGACACCCTGTGGGAGATCTGAGTTCCCAGCTCCTGGCTTTGGCCCCAGCCTTTGCATGAATTTGGGGAATAAACTAGTAGAATTGAACCCTCTCTCTTTCAAATAAATAATATATATTTTTTGACAGGCAGAGTAGACAGTGAGAGAGAGAGACAGAAAGGTCTTCCTTTTGCCATTGGTTCACCCTCCAATGGCCGCTGTGGCCGGCGTGCTGGGTTGATCCGAAGCCAGGAGCCAGGTGCTTTTCCTGGTCTCCCATGCGGGTACAGGGCCCAAGCACTTGGGCCATTCTCCACTGCACTCCCTGGCCACAGCAGAGAGCTGGCCTGCAAGAGGAGCAAAAAGACATTTTTTTTTTTTATTTGAAAGTCAGAGTTACACACAGAGAGAAGGAGAGGCAGAGAAATTGGTCTTCCATCCACTGGTTCATTCCCCAGTTGGCCACACCAGCTGGAGCTGTGCCAATCCGAGGCCAGGAGCCAGGAGCTACTTCCAGGTTTCCCACGTGGGTACAGGTGCCCAAGGATTTGGGTCATCTTCGACTGCTTTCCCAGGCCATAGTAGAGAGCTGGATCAGAAGTGGAGCAGCCGGGACTTGAACTGGCACCCACATGGATGCTGGCACTGTAGGCAGCAGATTTACCCAGTATGCCACAGCGCCAGCCCCAATAAGTATTTTTTTTTTAAACAGAGAGATAATAACAAATACTGATGAGTATGTGGAGAAATTAGAAATGTGTAGAACAGGCAAATCCATACAGACAGAAAGTAAGCAGGTAGTTTCCTAGGCCTGAGGGAGGGATGTGACTGCTAAAGGTTATAGGATTTCTTTTTGGAATAATGAAAATGTTCTAAAATTAGATTGTAGTAATAACTGCACAACACTATAGGCATAATAAAAACCATTGATTGTAAACTTTATTTACTTCTTAAATATTTATTTATTTGAAAGGTAGATACTGAAAGAGAGCTCCCATCTGCTAGGTCACTCGCAAATTCCCGCAACAGCTGTGACTGGGCCTGGCCAAAGCCAGGAACTGCTAGGAACTCAACCTGGGTCTCCCACACGGAGGAGCCCAGTCATCTGAGCCATCACCTGCTGCATTAGCACAAAGTTAAAGCCAGGAGCTGGAGCTGGGCACGAACCCAGGTATTCTAATATGAGACACAGAGATCTTAACCAGTGTCTTAACTGATGGGCTAACTGCCAGCCTTGAATCACACACTGTAAGAGCATGAATGTTATGGTAGGTAAATTAAATCTCAATAAGCTGTTAGCTTAAAAATAAGATAATAATATTCAAAACACATCACTTTCTAATTATTTTACAACATCTTACTATTATCTGTGTTTTGAAATTATTTATGGAAAGATGATGCCCTAGTAACCTAGAAAATAGGATCAAATTGTGTACAATATTAAGACAATGAGGACTGTTTATCTCAACTGGTATGCTGTTTATATCTTTATAACAGACAGCCAGATGGCAGTGAGTGATAATACTCTGCGCTAATCCTTTAGGAAGACTACTTTGCTCAAGACTTAGACACAAACAATAATGTTCTGCACCATTACAAGAAATGTGATGATGCCATGAAGGGTTTCATGACAAAATGATCAGAACAAGATATTCCAACACAATCTAGTCTTAATCCTGCAGCATTTCCTCCATAAATATCTATTGAATACTGTAGAAAATGCAAAAACTAGATTAGATCTTGTCTTTGTGCCATCAAGTTTCAGCCAAAGACATGGAAATAAATTTAAATATATAAAGATTAAGGCATCTAATTTGTAGTGAATTTGGTATTTATAGCTTTCTTACATTTGTATTTATTTTTATTTTAAAGGCAGAGACAGGGGGAGAAAGAGATTGAGAAACACTTAGAGAAAAAGAGATCTCCCATCTACTGTTCCACTCTACAAATGCTGAAACAGCTGGGGCTGGGCCAGGCTGAAGCCCGAAGCTGTGAATGAAAAGAGTTTAAGGAGTGAAAGTCAGGGGAGCAGCCATCAAGTTTCATAATCACTGAAATCCAAAAATCTGAATCTTCTTGCTTTTGTGCAGAAGTCAGGAAAATGCAAGAGACTGAAGTCAATCATCACAGTTGGCCTGAAGCCCAGGACTGGAAGATGCAAGGGAATAGAGAAGTTGCTACAAAATGTCACAGCTTCTTCAGTTCACAGGTACACCACCATGGCTGCAGAAAGAGCAGTGTTAATTCAAGCACGTAGACAACTCATAGGCAGAATCTAAACTATAGTTGGAACCCATTTGGCAAAGGACTATGGAAAATGCAGCTCTCATTCGTTCAGTCTCTGACTTGAAGTGAGAGTACCAAAGGGAGTAGAAATGGTGCTGAGTGCCAACAAGTAATATATGACTCATTCCTCAGATAATAGTCCGAGACTGTATATAACATAAGATTCTGGTTTTTCTTGATGGTAAGGGATGCAAGTTGTCCCAGGCTAACATCTTGGCACTCCTTGAACTATGGGCATCTAATTATCAAGTTGACAAAACATATGCTATCCTCTAGCATATGTCTTAAGAAACATAAAGAGTGCTTCTGAATTCCTCTCACTTGGTCTGGTCATTCTGTCTCTAATGTACTCGGTCAGTGTGAAGTCCTGTGGGACAACAAAACTTTCAATGTTCCTAGGGCTACATCAAGATAGAGAGATTGGGGGCTGGAGCTCCGGCATAGAAGGTAAAGCCACCACCTGCAGTGCCAGCATCCCATATGGGCTCCGGTTCGAATCCCGGCTGCTCCACTTCCAATCCAGCGCTCTGGGAAAGCAGTAGAAGATGGCCCAAGTCCTTGGGCCCCTGCCCCCATGTTGAGACCCAGAAGAAGCTCCTGGCTCCTGGCTCCTGGCTTCAGACTGGTGCAGCTCTGGCTGTTTCTGCCATCTGGGGATTGAATCAGCAGATGGAAGACTTCTCTCTTCCTCTCTCTCTCTGCCTCTGCCTCTCTGTAACTTGGCCTTCAAATAAATAAATAAATCCAAAAAAAAAAAAAAAAAAGGAGAGATGGTAATTTGGCATCTGTGACAGGACTGCTGTGAACTGCTTAGAGTGCTTTATACTTCTGTGGGAAGTGAGGGGATCCTGGAGGTCTGTACTTGTGAGTAGATAGCGGGAGGGAGAAAACTAGAGCCTGCAGGCTGGCCACTTGTCTTGTAAATAAAGGTTTATTGGAACACAGCCATGCCGACTCATTTACATATTGTTTGTGCCTGCTTTCACACTCCAACAGCAGACTGAGGAGCTGGGACAGAGACCCTTACAGACCAGCCAAAATATTGCCCTCAAAGTAAAGGTAAATAGAAATAAAACAAAATCTTAAATGTATTCTGAAAGCAGAGCCAAGGCCCTTTCTGAAAAATAAGCACTGAAATGTATTTGTAATGGTGAAAACTAATTTTTTTCCAGAAATTTGAAATTACACCTACTTAAGTGGACTTTTCCCTTGACTCTTTATGGTCTAGTATGAAACGGTCAGATCTGTGCTGTTCTCTTGACCTTTGATCAAATAAGCCTGTTTAGGAAAATTGTATATTCCTATTCCACTGGGCAAAGGAATTTGTAACATTTGATTGGCACAATAAATCATTACTTCTAATGAAGCACATTTTTTTAAATCCTTCTTTGTTCTAAGCAAGCTCCTCTGTGAATTTCAGCACAGTCAGGATCCTCATTTGGAATTCACTGGGGTTGCTGCTGCAGAGCCACGTTGACCTGAATGAAGAGAGGCTGGCGTATAGTATAGACCCGGAGTTCTGTGTTTATCAAGCAAGTGAAGAGTAAACATCCCTTCTCTCTTAACTGGTGGTTGTTGGGAGAGGATACAGACAAATGCTGATTCTTTGACTTCCTAAATTGTATTGCCATTTTCTTTCTTATACGTTTGAAATCTCATTTCCTTATCATCATTTGCATTTATAAAATGTTTCATGGGTTTAGTGTGTTTTCAGAACTCTATCATTTGATAACTGTATCAATTCAGAAGTTCTTTTCTTCCTACATTTCATCAATAAGGAAACTGAGGCTCAGAGTCAGTAAATCTTAGTTTCACTGAGGAGAGGACCAACAGGAACAAATGTTCACCACACAGCCTCACAACCTTAAGCCAGATCTCAAACCTTGATGTTTAAACTATAAGTCCACGACCTGCCTCCTTAGCACAGTAGGCAGCATATCAGTTTCACAATCATAAACTGTAAGTCCACGATGGTCTGAATATTTATGTCTTCTTCCCCACCCAAATTCATGTGTGCAAACTTCATTCCCAATGTGATCATAGTAAGAGGTGGGATCGGGGCCGGCACTGTGGCATAGTGGGTAAAGCCACCGCCTGCAGTGCAGGCATCCCATATGGATGCCAGCTCAAGTCCCAGCTGCTCCACTTTTGATCCAACTCTCTGCTATGGCCTGGGAAAGCAGTGGAAGATGGTCCAAGTGCTTGGGCCCCTGCACTCACGTGGGAAAACCCAGAAGAAGCTCCTGGCTTCTAGCTTCCAATCAGCACAGCTCCAGATGTTGCAGCCATCTGGGTAATGAACCAGTGGATGGAAGACCTCTCTCTCTCTCTCTCTCTCTCTCTGCCTCTCCTCTGTGTAACTCTTTCAAGTAAATAAATAAATCTTCAAAAAAAAAAAAAAAAAAAGGTGAGATCTTTAGGGAGTTCTATCTATGATCAAAATGGCCGTCACAAGACACTACTGAAACTTCCTAGGCCTCTTGTTCTCTCTTGCCTTCAAAACTGAGAAATAAATTTCTATTATTTATAGTACCCTGTTATATACCATATCCAGTTATATACTAGTTTTGAACTGTTTATGTTTCTGGTAGTTTGTAGTGACAGCCCAAACAGACCAAGACAAAGTCCAATATTCTTACTATCACAATCTATTAATTCCCATATTGGGAGTATTGGGGAAAAGCTATGGGTATTACTTATACCAGCGGGCAAAGTAATTGGTAATATTTGATTGACATAATAAATCATTACTTCTAATGAAGCACATTTTAAAAAAATTGTTTTGGTTGTTCTAAAAAAGCTCCAGTGGAAATTTCAGCACAGTTAAGACTCTTAATTAGAATTTACTCTAATTTCCTGCTGAAACCCCCAATGTGTAATAATAACTTTGAAGCACACAAAAATATGGCAAATACTGTTGCCAAGTTGAGAGTAGACAACTAGGAGAAGGAGACTCAGCTATCAAACTCTCAGGCAAAGCACTATATGAAGTTAATTGACTGCAGGGAGGGCATGGCTTATCTATTAAGATGCCCACATCCCAGATCAGAGGTCCTGGGTTCAGGTCCCAGTTTTGCTCCCTATTCCGTGTTCCTGATAACGCAGACTCCGGGAGGCAGCAGGTGATGGCTTCGGTATCTATATTCCTGCCAACCCTGTGCAAGACCTGGATTGAGTTCTCAGCTCCCAGCTTCAGCCTGGCCCAGCTCCAACCATTGTAGTTATTTGAGAAATAAACCAATCAATGGGAGCTCTCTTTGTCTCTCTCTGCCTCTCAAAAAATTAATAATTTAAAATAACAAAATCTCTATGTTATTGAATGAATCAGCATTAAAAACAGGCCTGGATCACTGCATGAAGAATTAAGCTGAAGAATAGGAAGAACTTTTTAAGAGTTTGGTTGTGATATTCTGAAACATCTAACCGCAGGAAGTTGTAAAGTGTCTCTAGATAATTATCATTATTAAAGAGCAAGCCTATCTTTTGGGAATGATTCAAGTGTAGTCTCGATTAATCAACAGCTGTATGAAATGTTTCCCTTCTAGTTCAATTATTATATTAAGATACTTTCTCTAGTAAGAGAGTGTGTTCCATCCCACCCCAACACATACACACACACTTTAACCTCCTATAAACTCACTGCAAAGGAGTTTGCAATCTTGGAATCAGATGTGCCTCTTGAAGTATGTGTCATCAACTCTACACAAATATGAAGCAGGAACAAGCATACTTTTCTTTGGCTTTTGCTGGGATCCAACACTACCAGACTCAACAGTTATTCATTCGCCAATTGATCTGATAAACATTTATTAAACAGATACTGTGTCCTAGATTTGTGAAGGACAACTTTACTAAAACTATTTCCCATGAAATAGATTTTGAGTAGCTCAGTCAAAATCTATGCTAGTGATACATGTGAATCATTATCCTCATTGAAAGGCAGTTTAAAGCTCCTGGGCGCCTTAGGATAGATAATACACAAAGGAAACCAACCAACCATTCTTTTATTATCTAGAAGAAGAGTCAACAAAGATTTCTGGAAAGGGCCAGATTGTGAATACTTTAGGCTTTCTAGGATCATATGGTCTTTGTTGTAACTACTTAATTCTCCTCTTTAGGGTAAAAGCAACCATAGTAATGTATAAAGGAATCAGTGCCACAGTTTGCAGATAAAACTTTATTTATTGATTCAAATTCATATCATTTTCATGTGTCACAAAATATTAGTCTTTGAATTTTATAGAAGACAGTTAGATATAAAAACTATTCTTATCTTGCAAGCTTTACAAAAGCAGGCAGTGGACCATAATTTGCTCATTCCTAACCTATGAGACTATTGTCTATGAAAGAAAATACAATGGTAGATGAACACGAGGGGCATGCAGGTGACATAATAAAATATCAAAGTAAATATAAAACTAAACGCTAAATACTTTCAAAACATTCAGATCAAGAGAATCAGATACTAAAGTGTTCAGTGGGTTTCATTTCTAGAATGAACAGACTTACATTTTCTCAGTTGAGTAATTTTAGCCTTTGGTAGAAAAGGACTCCAAATGGTTTCATGCTAAAAGATGATAAATAAGGACTTCAAATTTTTCACAGTTCTTATTCTTGTGTTGCCTGAAAATTGATTTGCTTCCCATATACCTCTCTGGACTTGGCTACTATTTTGGCATTTTGCTTTTTAAATTCCTGACCTTGTATTTCCAAAACTATGTGTCAGTTGGGTACAGTATGCCAGACAAGAGATAAATGGGATATTGTGAGAAAACCTATCAGCTCTCTTAATAAAATCAAACTCAAGGTTGAGAATAGAGGGAAGATCATAGAGTGAAGGTTGTAACTGGTGCTAGAGTTGGCATTAGAACTCACAGGTCTGAACAGTCTCCAAAAATTCTCAGCACTGAAGACATCTTGTGGCTTCTCTCACATCCTTTGCCCATATTTTACTCTAGCAAACAGCTTCATGCACTTACCATCTAAGAGCACCTTGTCCCGGTTGTACTGTTTTCCTCTCATTTTTTAAAAAAGATTTATTTATTTATTTGCAAATCAGAGTTACACAGAGAGAGGCAGAGAGAGAGAGAGAGAGAGAGAGGTCTTCCATCTGCCAGTGTTGTGGCATAGTGGGTAAAGACATCGCTTACAACAGCATTCCATATGGGTGCCAATTTGTGTCCTGGCAGCTTCACTTTGAATCCAGCTCCCTGCTGATGGCCTGGGAAAAGCAACAGAAGATGGTCCAAGTGCCTGGGCTCCTGCAACCCACATGGGAGATCCAGAAAAGGCTCCTGGCTCCTGGCTTTGGCCTGACCAAGCCCTGGTCATTGCAGCTATCTGGGGAATGAACCAGCAGATAGAAAATTGATCTCTCTCTCTGTGTCTCTCTTCCCTCCCTCTGTATCTCTGACTTGCAAATAAAATAAATACATAAAAAAAGAGTAATCTTTCTGAAACTCAAGAAATTATAAGAGCTTTGGAAGCTGTGTCAGGAACTGAGGACAAAGACCAAATATGTGTTTCTTATTGTGTCACAGTACCTAGAGTGTCCACTCAGGCTGCTCTAATAAAACACCACTGTATAGGTGGCTCACACAACAAAAGTATAAATTCGCATCATAATGCAGGCTGAACATCTCAGGTCAAGGTCTGAGGGGGTTGATTGGTTCCTGGGAAGGTCTTTCTTCCTGGATTATAGACAGCTGCCTTCTCACCCTGCCATCACCTGGCCTTACCTCAGTGTGTGCAGAGAGAGAACAAGTTCTCTGTTATCACTTCTTATAAGTAAAGTAACCTCATCAAACCAGGGCCCAGCCACTATAATTCCAACTATTTCTTTAAAAAAATTTATTTTTTATTTATCTGAAAGACAGAGTTACACAGAGAGAGGTAGAGACAGAGAGAGAGGTCTTCCATCTGATGGTTCACTCCCCAGATGGCTGCAACGGCTGGAGATGTGCCGATCTGAAGCCTGGAGCTTCTTCCCGGTCTCCCACGTGGGTGCAGGGGCCCAAGGACTTGAGTCATCTCCTACTGCTTTCCCAGGCCATAGCAGAGAGCTGGATTGGAAGAAGAGCATCCGGGATGAGAACCAGCACCCATATGGGATGCTGGCACTTCAGGTCAGGGCTTTAACCCTCTGCACCACAGCGCTGGCCCCGTTCCATCTCTTTCTTTCTTTCTCTCTTTCTTTCTTTCTTTCTTTCTTTTTGACAGGCAGAGTGGATAGTGAGAGAGAGAGAGAGAGAGAGAAAGGTCTTCCTTTTTGCTGTTGGTTCACCCTCCAATGGCCTTTGCTGCCGGCGTGTTGCGGCTGGTGCGCCGCGCTGATCCGATGGCAGGAGCCAGGTGCTTCTCCTGGTCTCCCATGCGGGTGCAGGGCCCAAGCACTTGGGCCATCCTCCACTGCACTCCCTGGCCACAGCACAGAGCTGGCCTGGAAGAGGGGCAACCGGGACAGAATCCGGCGCCCTGACTGGGACTAGAACCCGGTGTGCCGGCGCCGCTAGGTGGAGGATTAGCCTATTGAGCCGTGGCGCCGGCCACCATCTATTTCTAATTACCTCTCTAAGGCTCCACCCCCAAATACCATCATTGAGGGTTAGGGCTTCACCATGTAGAGAGCATAAACATTCAGCCTGTGACCAACATAGGATCTCTCTCTCTCTCTCTCTCTCTGCCTTTCAAATAATTGTTTTTAAATTGTACACCAGGAGCTGGCACTGTTACATAGTGGGTAAAGCCACTGCCTGAGGTGTCAGTATCTATACGAGCAACTGCTCCACTTCTGATCCAGCTCCCAGCCAATGAACCTGGTAAAGCAGCAAAAGATGGCCCAAGTCCTTGGGCCCCTGCACTCACATAGGAGACCCGGTAGAAACTCCTGGGCTCCTGGCTTCAGTTCAGCCTAGCTTCAGTTGTTGTGGCCATTTAGGGAGTGAACCAGCGGATGGAATATCTCTCTCTGCCTCTTTCTGCCTTTCAAATAAATAAATAAATCTTTAAAAGAAAATTGTATATGAATCTTCTTGGCAACATTTTTCAATAACCAATAGGCAGAAAAAAATCCATCAATGGAAGAATGGATAAAGAAAATGGGGTAGATATACAAGGAAATATTATTCAGCC